AATAAATCATTTCACAAATTCCTGCATGTCTCTTCAGGGGAAGATGTTAGAATCAGCAGTAAATGCATTTATAAAATATGTCACTCATCTACAAAAATGGAACCAGAATTACCAGATGATGTTATATATTCACTTGGAATAAGGCCAGATATTCCAATATATGAATGTTTGCCATAAGATCACTAATCCAGTACTTAGATCAGCATTCAATTGCATGGTGATTAATAAAAAATGAAGAAAACAGCTTTTGTTGTCTCATTCATTTCATTAGACAAAGCTTAAGAAACTTAAAATAAGATTCTGTTGACACCTTTTTTCTGCTGGGTAGTGAATGCAGATCTCTTGCAGTGAATCATTATTTAAATAGAAAGAACTGACAAATTTTACAGCACTTATGGGAAAAACTTGTTTAGATCATTTGAATATTTGAGCTTGGCAGCCATAAAAGATTAAAATAATAAATATTTGAAATGCACATCTCTAATATCCAGTACATAATGCCATATAATGTAAGGTAAATTTGCCATTGAGCCATTGTCTTGTAATCATATCTGTCCAATTGTAATCACTATACTATACTCATTATGTTTTTTTTTTTCCCCATGATCAGCAGCAGCCGTTTCTGCCCCAGCTGAGACCTCCTGATTTAATGAGTTTTTGCTTTTAATACATGGACGCATTTTTAATTTCATCTCTGTACCGAGCTTACTGCAGTGAAACTAATGTTATGTAAATTTCAGAGCAAGTCACAAACATATCTCCCTCAAATTATTGCACAGGGTTATTTAAACATCTTTTTAAAACATGTGCGGTACCAACTGCTCAAGCATGTCTTTTTCCCCCTTTTTCATCTTGTTATTGAATGTCAAAAGTGGTATTCCCTGAATATGGAAGAAGATCTGTTGAAGAAATGAGTTGTTGATTTGTGTAAATAGGAGAAGGGTTATAGCTTTTCGAAATTATGCTGCTTATGTGCAAGTCTCATAGGACCAGGGGGTGAAATCTTTGGAACTGCTGTAAACCATAGGAGGCAAAGAGCCATCTGTTTAACATGGGGTTACACAGAGCGCAGCCGACGGAGCAGCATGGCAGTAACATGTTTTGTCAGTGTGGGCGTCTAAGGACATTAATTATGTGCTGTATCTCTTCCCTAGTGTCTTTTTTATTGGAATGACAGGACAAAAAAAACTGAGGCATTGAAACAGGCTGGTCCTCAAAGGCTGTTGCTTTGCAGTGGTTTTAAGACTGCATGCATGCATTTGATGATTATATCACTAATCTTCTGCAAGCAGTAATTTAAAAAGTAAATTAGTGAATTCACTTTGCTAATGTCACATATGTTCTGCATGAAAACCTGTTCATTTCCAAGCAGGGCATACCTGACAATAGCAAAGTTATATTACCTACTCTTTTTGTTTAACATTTGCACTCTAACTCTGTGTGGGCACATCATAGTATGCAGAATCGCATATTTAGATGTGATGAGATAATCTTGTTTACAAATGAACCAAAACCAATAAAAACACTTCATCACTGTTGTAACAAGCAGTGACTTATTTCGTTACAACCATATTAACTAGGAATATTACCAAGTGCTTTGTGAAAGAACAGAACATAACACAGAAAGCCACAATCAAATCCTAGGATTGGGTGAGAAGTACAGCACAATATTTTGTAGTAGATGTACAGGTACATCAAGTCTGTTTGTTCGTTCCTTTCTTTTAATTTCCACCAACTCTTTTGGGAGCAATAATATTTCTCTTGAGTTTTTATAATGTCATTCAAGAGCTGCTTTTAAATGATTCAAGGAAAACATTTGGCATTGTATTATTTGCATAACACATTGTGGTTTATTAGTCACTGGCACAGTACTTGAAGATTGGACCTTTTGTGTTGCATCATCTCATGCAGTGTTTTATTTTATTTTAATGTATGTATGTATTCACTTTTTTATTTTATTTTACTTTCACCAGCCTTAATGATTTTCACGTATATGTCAATGTCAGATTTAGAACCTGCCTAATTTTTGATGTAAATGTAAATGATGATCAAATTTTCATGTGTGTTGGTCCCAGGAAAATTCTTAAAATTGAGGAATTTCAGCAACTATTAAAATACATATAGAATAGAAGCATATAGAAGTGTTACTGGCTGAAATTGACAGAAGAGAAGTGGCAAGAGCAGTGGCAAATATGGAGTTTTAATTACAGTGTTCATTGAGATTGAGGTTATTTCACAGAAATATCTGTGAAACAGGCATAAATGCATGACCTCACAGTGTCCTGAGGGGAAAATGGGGGAATGTGTGTCTCCCAGTGGCACTGTATTTGAAACAGCTGTGGGTGATAAACAGGGAATAAGTCTGTGAAGATTAAAGTAGAGGTCCTATCACGGAGCCATGGGGAACACCTGTTGAAAGAAGGCGAGTGAGGCTGAATAGCAATACTAGTGAATTCCTGTGAGTGAACAGCTGAGATGACAGTGTCAAAAGGGACTGCGACGCGTGACAGTGGAAGGGAGAGAATAGTATGGGGCAAATGAGGTTGGGAGAGAAAGAAGCAGTTAGCATTGTTTGTGGTAGCAGTGGAAGGGTCAGAGAAAATGCTTCGAGAACAAGAAGATATGAGGGGTTAATGCAATCATTGCCGTGCTGAGGACAAGGAATTATATGGCAGCTGTATTCTGTTCATTTACTCAAAGGCTTTTAATATCCTAATTTCATTGTGTCTGACTCCATTAGGCACAAATTGGGCTTTCTAAAATGGATTGTGCAAGTGGAGTATTGATCGGCATGCACAGTATTTTCAGCAGAAGGCATTAATGTCAGAGGAGTTGCACTGAACCCTGAGCAATTCTCATGGAAATCAATGCTTTTATGTTGTCATTGCGATTTCTGAGTGTAAATAGAGGCTGTCCTTACAGTGTAATAGGGAACATATAATGTACTCTTAATTGTGTTTATTGTGCATCTCTGATTTTCATGGTTACACATGAAATTATGAATCCTGCCTGTACATTATATTATCTCATTGTGATCTCCCATGAAAACCAATTAGCAAAATACATTTTTTTCTGAAAGAAAAAAAATAGTCAAAACAGACTGCTGCTAATTAAGCCTGTCAGCATTTTCTGTGAGATGTGTTGTGGGGCAAATGCTGCTAAAAGGCTCCACTTTAGCATGTATGTAGGCCATTTATTTTTATTTGGTGGCCTTAATCCATAAATGAGCCATGGAGAAGTTCCAAGGGACAATTACAGATAAGTGGGACTTCTCCTGAAAGTGAAACCAAGTCTTGTATTGTGTGTAGTGTGGTGAGAAATCAAGTCAAGCAAATTCATTTTTCTCTTTAATGTATCCTGGGAAAATGTCTAGGCTTTAATGCTGGGACAGTAGACACTTTTGTGTTACTGATATATATCATCTAATGTTATCTGTAAAAATATTAATATTACTAAGGAACATAAATTGGCAGGGTCAACCTTTATGTGGGCTGTTGTATAGCATGATAATGAAAACAGTTAATTATCTCAAATTACATGAACATTCCCCACTCTTAAATAGAAGTTTAATACCTAACCACTGAGGAAGTTCTGGTTTCCCGTATGATTTCCAAAGCTCAAGCTGTCTAAGTGTGCCCAGCAACTTTTGCAAATGAGAAACCTGTTCTCCTGAACTCAAGTGACTCTAGCAGTAGGCTCATGTTTTTTGATGTATGAAAAAATTAAGTGAAGTCCACAATGGAGAAAGTGGTCACAAAGTGCAGTCTGACTGTAAATCATTTGCCAGCTTATGGTGTGTGATGTTTTGGGATGGACTGGGTGAATCTTTTTGTCAGCAAAATCACACTCTGTACAGTGGCAAAGTAGACGCTGCTCCTACATGCTATGAGGTAGCTCTGTGGAGTAAATGGCAGTTTCATGTACATCAGCGTGGGAGCTAACAGGTTTCTCCACTGCAGGGGTTTGCTGACAAAAAATTTAAATTTGAAAGCCTTTTGAATTTCAAGAGATGTTTATGTAGTTTTACATATGACCTCAGTATCTAATCCAGCAAAAGCAGTTATTGCTACATTTGTACAATGCTCCCCTGCTACTTCCAAAGTTATGTTTGTTCTGACCTGGTTTGAAAGGAATAGGTTTCCACCCAATGCTCAATAATTCTGAACATACTTACCAGGTAATATGTTCACACTTTGTCAGAGTTTTTATGTATTTTCATAGTCCCATAGGGATCCACCCTTTGTCTCTACTCCATATACAGAAAATCTCTGGGTTCAGTCATTTCCTCTCATGGCCTCTCTCAGTATTGCTTTGCAGATTATACACAACTCTTATTTTCACCCAATGACAAGCATATAGCTACACGCATCAAGGCATTCCTCGATGATGTATCCAGCTGGATGATCAACAAACATCTCAAGCTCAGTCTCTGCTTATTAATGTGTCCTTCACAGACAATATAGCAGCGGCAACATGGAGCTGCAGATCCCTGTGATATAATATCTGTCCATTTCTTTCTACAAATTGAACACAACTCTTAGTCCAGGCCTTTGTGTTTCCCAGACTGGACTACTACAGTCCTCTGGCTGGCTTCCTAGCAAGTGCCATCAGACTTTTTCATCCAGTTCAAAATGCAGCAGCTCAGCTGATCTACAGTCAAAACACATGCTGGATCACCCCTCTCCTCATCTATCTATATTGGTTGTCCCCTTGGGGGATTCAAGTTGTCCCCCTGAGGGGGATTCAAAACACTGGTTCCAGCCTTCTGAGCAGCAAAAAGAATAGTATGAGGATGCCATCAGACCCTGCACTGCTGTCTCTGGTCACCCAGGTGTTCCTTTCTGTAAGGGACCCTCATTGCATAATATCCCTTTTCTCTGATTAAATTACTGTCATTTAGCTCTTATCCAGAGCGACTTACAATTTTCTATGTTATCCATTTATACAGCTGGATATTTACTGAGGCAGTTGTGGGTTAAGTTCTTTGTCCAAGGGTATAGCAACAGTGGCCCAGTGGGGAATTGAACCGGCAACCTATCGGTTACAAGCCCTGCTCCTTAACCACTATGCTACACTGCTGCCCCGTCATGGCCTCCAAGTGGTGGAATGAGCTTCCCACAAATGTCAGGACATTAGAATCCCTGTCCATTTTCTGGCTCAGACTCAAGTATTCAGACAGCATATTGGTTCCGTGAGCTCTGTTCCCCCACACCCCCTCACCTGTAGACTTCATTGTGGAAGTTTAGTGGTAAAACTGATTGTGGATTAAGCATTGTAGACAAAAGCCTAGTGACAGTTTAAGCTTTTTTGCATTGACAGAACATCCAGTGGTCAAAACGCTGAAGCAATACAAGCTTGTGGCAGTGCAGACTTGGTGGCTAGAAACTGTTAGATGTAGTTTAAGGTTGAGCACCTTATGATAGAACTTATTTTCTCTCCTTGTGGCAGTTCCCACAATGATATTGCATTTCATGCACAGCACAAATGATTCAGTATATGGCTACTTGCCTAATTCCAGTTGAATGCGCTTTTTGTAAGTCGCTCTTAGATAAGTGCATCTGCCATATGAATAAATGTGAATGTTCTCTTGTAGGTTGCTTGAATGAAGACAAAAGGCTTTTATGCTTCTATGAGATGCTCGTGTTACTATTTTGTTTGTTATCTCTATACAAAATACAGTAATTACTTGATTTTTGTGATACAGAAAATCATATCTGGTGTGTGGTGGGTTGTAGGTGTGAGACTGTTTATCGACCTAATAATGGAGGAGTGTGTTCATGTGCATTGAGACAGTGGTTGAAATAAAGGGCTGTTCCCATTGTATGCTTATGCCATGGTAAGGAAAATGTGGATCTTTCACCTGCTCCAATCACACTGAGGAATTGTTATCACAAACATTGTCTAAGCTTACGCATTTAGCTGCAGAACAATTATGTAATATGTGCTTCTGTCTTAATTGCTTTGTAGTCTACAATGCAAAGTCTTAAATTGGTGTGGGTTACACAACACAGTTAGCTATGTAGGTTGTGCCTCAGCTTGAAAATGTTGAAATTGAGAAATTTTGGAAAGGGTTTTTTTTTTTCCATGACAGTAATTGTGGTTTGTCATGAGCACTTCAAACGTAGCTGTGGGTTTGTGATTTTGCAATGCTGACTGTTACAGATGTAAAGGAGCTGTAGTACAAGAGGTGCAGGTATAGGCATATAAAGCATACAAACAGAATGCATAGCTCACATTGAGAAGGTTAAATAGATCATAGGTCATAGACAACTGACTGACAAACCTAAACCAGTCTCCTAATAGCATCCTCACATGCACATCCAAACCAATTTTAACGTCAACTGATCAAAGCTCCCTAGTTAGCCTTTTGGAAGGCTAAAAAAATTCTGTCAGTTAAATTCAGTGATAGCAAGCTCATCAGTTTCCTCATTTATTTTTACTGCATAAAAATAAATCTTTATGTCAGCTAATTTAGGATTGTTTTTTTGGCCATCTTCAGAGTGATTTAAGGTTTCTTTCAGCATCACAGCATTTGTGATGAAGCCAATTAACAGCTTTTAAGCTGGTCCAGGATCAGTTTTCTTTTATGTATGGATTTAGACGGGAGAAGCTTACCCTGGACCAGCACTCGGTGCACCGTCTCTCTAGAGGGACTGGCTGCTCTACACGTGAGGAAGCAGCACGTTGTTTAGATCTTACAGAATGCAGTATTGTGGGGAGCATATGTACTAGTAATGTGACTAGCGAGAATCTCTGTATAATGGAGACCAAAGTATATGTGTAAACAATGATTTGGGAGACCCTGCATCAACAGGCGCATATGTTCAAATATGGAGTGATATATTTTTCTGAAATATAAATGATATATAAATCAAAATACAGCTAGTATTTATTTTATGAGTCTGAATTTCTTAGCAAGGGGGGCAAGATTTTTTTGTTTTTGACATGTATCCTGAGATCCATCTGAACCCCAGCCTTGAATCACCAGTGCGTCTCAGCCCACAGTTTGGGAACCACTGGACTACAGGACTTGCATCTCCTGATCTGTCTGTAGTGATTTATGAGTGGCAAAGAATGTTTATGGAGTATCTCTGTAATACAATACCCAGCATCAGGCAGATGTGAAACTGTACTCTAGATTGTCTCTCATTCCCCTTTTTTATTTGTACTTCCATGTAGATCCGTTGAGATAAGTGGTTTTAATTAAAACCACAAACTTTTACTCCTGGCAAATGGCCTTAGTAAATTAAATCTTTGACCCCAAATCTAATTTCAGATTTTGACTCCATGGGTTTTTAGCAAAGAAGAATGCAATTATCCAATTGAAAAGTATTTAGTTATTTCATTACTCTTTCATTTATTTCCATTCATGAACAGACTATAGCACCTTTGAGTTGGAGAGTGTATCCCTCTTTGTTGACGTTTTTTTAGGAATAAGCAGTTCTCTTTAAAAAAATGTGTTTTTGACAGTTGAAAACTTTGCAGCAAGCAATTTCTGTCAAAAATATCAAGGGAGAACTTGAAGTGTTATTATTATAAGTTTTATCATTCAAATGTTGGGCCAAAGTTTTAATGGAATCCTTGCAGTCCTCACACTGATCATCCACTATCACAGCGACCTTTCTTCAAGGTCAATCTCATTATTTGTTTCTCTGTTCCAGGAAGCCGCGTCCAGTTTCCCAGTTGGTTGCACAGCAAGTAACCCAGCAATTTGCTTCCCCCACACAACCAAAGAAAGAGAAAAAAGACAAGACAGATAAAGAAAAAACTGAAAAGGAGCCAGCACTAAAAAAGAACAGCCACAAGAAGATGAGGTAACAATTTGTCATATTGCCTACCAGATCACTGATTGTATATTTCCTGCCTCAGAAGGGTATACATTTTGATGATCAGTTTTTTTGTGTGTTTTAACAGATAGCTGTCAGTTCATGTTGTTCAAGAATATGTCAAGTTGATGTATTTTCTGTGCTTTTATGATAAAAGAATACAAGTTGGCTGCATTGTTTGTGGAGAAATACAGAATCTCCTCTAGCCTTGTCCTATCAAATTCCATCCATCAGAGAGTTTGACTGTGTACTCTTCTCTGCCTTGTCTCCCCCCCAAGGCCAAGATTAAAAAATGTGGACAGGAGCAGTGCACAGCACCTGGAAGTCACAGTTGGAGACCTGACTGTTATTATCACAGACTTTAAGGAGAAAACAAAGTCCACGCCGACATCCAGCGCTGCATCGGCAGACCAACACAGTCAAAGTGGCTCCAGTTCTGACAACACTGAAAGAGGAATCTCCAGGTCGTCCTCTCCCCGAGGGGAGGGCTCATCAGTCAACGGGGAATCCCACTAAAAACGCACCCCTCGTGTACCCCCTGTTTATTTAGTCATTGCTGAACATGCACATGTTGTAGAACTTATGCCAAGATATACCACAAGTCCTGGTTACAGGCGAGACACACCCCCATTTTCATGACATACAGGCATTGTGGTTGGCATTTTGGAAGTCTTCCAGAATGTTTTCTGTCCTGGTCAGTTTGTTGTTCTCAACAAGAGTTGTTACCCATCAAAATCATTTAAAGTCAATTGTAATTTTTTCGTTGTCCCTTGATGATCAGAACACACAGAAAATTGTATTTTATCCCCAATTGGTACCAGCTGTAGAGCACCATGTGAATGTGGTAGTATTTTACATCAAATCAGTGTTATATTGTTAATATACACAGTCATCTATTTCTATCCCTTTTCAACATGAAATCTATTGTGGCATGAAATGGATCAGGGGTTTAAGCAATTGTTTAAGATAGACAAGTAGCATTACGAGAGAAAATGTGCAGCGGCTATCTCTTATGTGTAAAATGACATTGATAAGTCTAACTGTGATAGCAACAGAGCTTTTTCTCACTGACTTAATGCACCTGCTGGTACTTGGTGTGGTTTCATGAGAAAATATTCTTTAAAAAACATGTGTATTATGTTTTGCCAACATTTTACAGCACGTTATTATAGATTATATCACTGTTACATTTATGGGTATAACCAAGCCGTGCTGTTATGTGTATGAAACATCTCAGTTAATTACATTGTTTTACTGTCAGAAGAAGAAAAAAGTTTATTAGTAAAAGAATGAAATTATGAATTTGATGTTAAGAAGACAGTCTGCTTCTCGTTCATTTTATAGATGCTAGCTTGTCATCATTAACAGTGGTTTATAATATAGAAATTATCACAAAATAAAATTAAAAGTTATAGGCTCCTTCATAAAATGCATCTTAAATATGAAGTTATTAGTGTCCACATTTTTGGGGCTTGTGGTCATGGGGATTTTGGTTTATTGTGACCAAGAGGAATGCATTCTTTTCATACGGTGGCGTGTAGTGTGGAAACAGAGGGCCTCAAAAATGACAGGCTGGGAGTTCAGTTCCTCCAGAGAGAGAGCAAGAATGCAGAATTCTAACAGCTGTGATTTGTGTCACGGTCCTGCAGTAGCACAAAGCTGTGGCACTTATCTCCACGTTCACAGGCATATCTTCCAGCATTGCCACCGGCAGGCCGAACCCCAAAAAATGATGCCACTTCCGCTGGTATTTCCAAGCTTGGCATAAGCATTGTGGGTGAGTTCTAGGAACTGTGCAGTAGCTTGCGTGGGGGATGTGATTCACATTGGTCTTAGGTCAGCAGCTGCAACTTTAATTTCCCCCTGGAAAAATTATTCAATGAAAACTTTCCATCTTTTGATTGCTTTTTTTGATGGGAAGGATGAAATATGTCAGATGCTGAGCTCTTGTATGCCTCATGGGATTAAAGGCCTTTTTGCATCTTGGAGAATGGGTATAGTGAAATGACATTGTCACACAACGTATTTGCAGAAAATGGCTCTGCTGTTTTCTCATCACTGGCGGGAGACAGCTTTGGTCCTATGCAAAGGATAAATTTGACATTCACAAACCAAACCTGAGGCAATATTTGCACATGCCTCCCTTGTCTCACTCAAGGACATGCATAAGAGTTTACCCCATGACAACCGACATGATGGGGGTTGGGGGGGTGGATTAGGACTCTCTGCCTGGCCAAGTTGAATAAGGAATTG